CTGCCAGTGAAAGGGGTTGGGAAGAGAACCCTGGTCTGTGATAAAGTGGATAAAGGGGAGAAGCTTAGACACCTTAGGAGTTGATGAAAAGCTGTAATATCTAAAGGGAAAACCTAGAAGGGGAAATCTTAAAACTATAAGCAAATGCTATTCAGTATTAAGAACGTATGTTAGCACTGAAATATACTAAGCAAACCACCTCTCATTGAAAAGATCTTGAAACTCTGAAAATAAGCACAATACTCTCTTGTCTGATCTGAGCTTTCAAATCTGTATATAGTATGAAGTTTTATCTCAGCCTTTCTAAACCCTGACAATCTCCTTTTATATATATATTTCCTGCCTGTTCTATAAAATATTATTTCTGTTTTGAAAGTTATTTGGCCTCAAGTGCCATTTCAATATGGGTTTAAGACAAAACAGCTCCTGTATTTTCCCTTAAGTTCCTGTCCTGGGTTAGAAGTCTTAAAGTAATATCTGCAGCAGGGTAGGACAATTAAAGCATATACAAGAAAGAAGAAATACATGCTACTGAAGGGCAGCTCAGACACATAGGGGAACTTAAAAAAAATTTGGAGGGAAAATCTTCCTGGGAGTGGGGGAGAGTCGGGGTCTGTCATATCACCACACCTAACAACTTAATAATATTGATTAGTGCATACTACTGTGGACCTGTCTGCATTGAATCTTACCTACTATCTTACCACTCTCTCCCTAGCGACATTAAGGCAAAGAACCAGAAAGACCTAGGTATTCTGGAAGGTCTTTGACACAGGGTGAGTAATTCTTTACAGCACTGATTCCTCTTGCTGCTGATTTGATCTTATAGATGGTACTAATCTGATGTCAATTTTGTGGGAGTTGGTTATGAAGGTTTTCCCTGATCTTATTTTATGGTTTATTAAATTTAGATAATTTATACTTTGCTTTTCTCCCATAAAGGGACCTAAATCAACTTAGCACATTGTTCTCCCGCCCTCTGCTCTCTCCTTACAACAACCCTGTGATGCAATGATCCCTCTAAGCTCCCCAGTGTTGTGAGCAAAAATTCTACCTCGTGAGCAAAAAAAGCTAGTAGCATTAAAGTTGTGAATGAGTCTACATTTTACTATCACGTAAATTAGTTTTTTAGAAGATTATTTCCATAACGTAAAAATCCCAGAATAAATTATTTTAAATTATATTTAAACTATATTTTAAGAATAATTTTAACATTATAAGAGAAAACAGAATCAAGTCAAATTTCACCCAAAGAACCCTGCCTAACCTAACAAACAGGAAGCTGCTTAAATGTTATCAACCTGCCCAAACTACTTATTTATTCAAATATTTATATCCCACTTTTCCATGTGACTCAAGGCAGCTTACAAATCATACTGAAAAGCGTAATGAATTGTGAAAAAAAATCATTTCCCTCCAGCTCCATTGTAGCCTATGGGGACCATTATAGTCAATAAGCCCCATAAGCAATAATGGAGAACCAATCCTGGGTTATGTGGGGCTCGGGGGGGGGGGCTGTTTTTTGCTACCAAGTTTGCAGCATAGCTGCTGGTGCCTCTCCTCACCCCCCCCCAAAGTTTCAAAAATATTGGGCCAGGGGGTCCAATTCTATGGGCCCCAGAAGTAAGTGCCCCCATCTTCCATTGTTTCCAATGGAGAGGAAATGCCTTGTGGGCTGAAAGCAATAATCCCTGCACTACCTGTTTAAATTTTGTGCGCCAGTGCCCTTTATTGCAGCTTAGAGGGAACTATGCCTGTGAGGTAGGTTAGGCTGAAAGAGTAATTGGCCCAAGGCCATGGAGTAAACTTCCATGGCAGAGTTGGGATTTGAACCTCAATCTCCCAGTTCCCAGTCTGACAATCTGATGACTCGACCATGTTGGCTCTCAACTGGTGCTGCTAGCCTGTTTTGTATTTTGGGATTTACTATTCTATGTACTAATGTTGCATTGTATTCTAAGATTGTAAGCTGCCATTGGGTGTTTTTGGAGAGGGAAAGGTGGAGGCATGAATTCCCTAAATAAATTATACCCTTCAAAAGGACTATAGCTTAATAATTTTTGTGTGTCTGGCAAATGTAAGTTTATTGTTCTTCAGATCTTTTTTCTGACCATTCCAATACTGCAGTTCACTTGGAAATTCATTGTTGCCAAGGTTGAGAATGGGTTGTTATTTATTGTTCTGTTCTTCAAAAATTCCTATCTTTAAATAGAGTTCAATAAATATCAGAATTCTACCTCTCAGCTAGAGTTCCCAGACTTCCTGAACTGGCCTTCATTTAAGTCTGTACTGAAAGCTGTTGGAAGCCTAACCAAAAATCTCACACACCATCTTTCTTCCGCATCTCATTCATTCTTAATTAAAACCTAGGAACTGACTTCTGCTGGGTAAGTTTGATTACAATGTAACTTGACAGAAATCGGTAGAAACCCACTGGTGTGATCACAGAGTAATAGAATGAATACTGCCTTCAGGTTGCCAATCTTTTTAACTCCTTTCATTTCCCTCTACAGAAACTATTTATAGTACTAGGAAAATGCAGTTGATATAATCTATTTGGATTTCAGCCAGGCATCTGATAAAGTACCACACATAAAATTGCTATTTAAACTGGATAAAGGTGGGTAAGGAACTGGTTAAAAGGCTACAAAGAAACAGCAAAAAGGCAAATGTCAGGTTGGAGAGAGCTAACAAGAGGACTTCCTCAGCAATCAGTCTTGGGACTTATTTTGTTAATTAGGGACCCTGGGGAGGGAAGTAGGATATTGCTGAGGAAATTTGTAAATGACATGAACCCATGAAGCCTTGTAAATGCAGGCAAGAACTGGGCAGTTATGCAGGATGAACTAGAGTAATAGAATTTAGATTCATTAATATCAACGTTGAACACATATATTTGGAACTTATACCAACTGTCTTTGTCATCAGCCTCAAGATAGGGAAGAAGATCTAGAGGTAGCATGTGATGACAGTGTGATTTATAAGCCCTTTATGTGATGTGTTTACAAACATGATGCTTGTCATGAAGGATTTGCCAGGTCTTTTGTGGTATGAATTTAACAATTTTTGATCTTCTGCATAATTCCAGTGGGGTAGTCATTTGGTAATTTTCTGTGTAATAATGAGGAAAATTATTTTCTTTCTTCCCACTGAATCTGAAGAATCAAGGTCAGACTCATGAAAGCTTATCCTGGAATAAATGTTAGTCTTTAAGGTGCTACTGGATTTCTGTTTTGATCTTCCTCAGACATGCTGCTCTTACCATCTGAAGTAAGGTGGGTGATGACCAGACATAGGGCTTTCTCTGGAGTAATTAATTAATTAATTACCATATGGCATTGTGTATAGAATAGCCAGGAGATCCTAAGATTGTCTGGTAGCCACAAGTTCTAGCTCTTTTAGTGTTATGCAAAACTAAGTAGCAAACTAGATTTGTTTTGAAGGCAAAAGATGTTTCAGAAGTGGTTTGTCATTGCCTGCCTCTGTCATGACCCTTGGAGGTTGCCTTTCCAAATACTAGCCAAGGTTGACCCTGCTTAGCTTCTGAGATCTGACAAGATTGAGCTAGCCTGGGCTATCCAGGTCAGGGCTTTCTCTGAAGTGGCACCTCAGTTATGCAATACCTTCTCCACCGCCCTCTGCCTAACTGTTTGAATTTCAGACATGTTTCTGTTCATTCACATTTTGGTTTGGGTGATTTTTTAAAAAACTGAATTTGGTACTCTTAATTCTTGAGGATTCTGCTCCCCTTCCCTCATTTTCTACATCATATTTTACCTCATGCTCACAGTTCATTTATTGATTTATTATGGTCTGTTATTCTGTTATAGTTAATTGTTTAGTTTGAGTTAATTTGCTGTTTTAAATTAATATTGTGAGCTGCTCCTCAAAGCCTTTTTGAAATGAGAAGTGGGATATAATTTTAAAAAAATAAAAAATACTATGGCTGAGCAGGAATTATTGATGCTATTATGTAAGAAATTTGAAATACTGAACACATTGCCCTCTCTCTCAGGGAAAGAAGGCACAGTCTATAGTTACTGCCAAGAAGGTGAGTATACACTGCCAAGAAGGTGAGTATACTCTGATCTTCCTCCCCCCTTGCCCATGTGTTACAGGCCTATATCTGCTGTGGAGATTATGAATGAACAAAATTACTGACTTTCTAATAAAACTACTCTTCAGAGTAAAATGTGCCAAATTCCCTTCTTTACACAGCTATTAAAAAGTACAGAAACCCTGCATTTCTTGGTCATCCTAAATATGATGGCTCAAGGAACTTTATTTCTTGAACCATAACCTATGTTGAACCGAGGCCCCACATGACTGTTCTTGGCCAGTATTTATACACAAACAGAGGTATGGACTCACATCACACCTGAAATCTGATTCAAGACATGGAATAAAGTACATTCTGCTTCTATTCATTCTGCAGCCTCAAGAGAACATGAACAATGCTACTTTGTTCTTCTAAACTAGATTACGGGGCCGGTCCTACCATTGGGCAGGGAGAGAGAAACCGTCTCTGGTGGCAGATTTTTAGGGTTGCCAGCCTCCAGGTAGGGCCTGGAAATCTGCTGTTATTACAGTGGATCTCCAGATGACAGAAACCAGTTCCCCTGGAGAAAATGGATGCTTTGGAAGGAGGATTCTATTGCATCGTACCCTGCAGAGGTCCCTCCCCAGGTTCCACCCAAAAAATCTCCAGGTATTTCCCAGCCCAGAGCTGGCAACCCTACGAGATTTTGGGCCACAAATTGTCAACAATTTCATTTACTCTTCTATGTTTAGAAGCTATGAGGCATACTACATCATTAAGTGCCTATATATAACCTTATGTTAGCAGGGATCCCACCTTGTTGGAAGCCCTACACTGTAGCATAGTTAGCATAATGCTTTATCCTGCAGTGTAGACCCTGTAGGCCACATCTACAGATAATTCTATAAGCCAAGAAGAGTACTGTATACAGAAGGAGACTTTGGCAGATGAAAATGCTTACCCCTTGAGAAAAGTAGAAGGCAGCAATTCCCAGAGGCCAGAAACAGCAAAGCATTGAGAAAATGGCCAAGCCCAGGTGGTCTCGAGGGGGAAGCATCAGAAAATGATCTTCACTCTCACTGTCGCTTGAGGAGTCACTCTGGAAAGTAAATTAATTTCATTATGGTGAACAAAATGACACTCCCAGCAGGAGCGGCAAGTATAATCAGCTCACACTTCCCATGTTTGGTGCTGCCACCACAACAGCATACTTGTTCAGGTAAATGATGCAGGTGGTCTTTGTGAGGCAGAAGACCCCCTCATTGAGCAATACAGTGCAAAGCAGGAGCTGCCATATCACAAAAGACAGACACAAATCCACACTGCCTATTTTATTTATTTTTAATGTACTATTTCCATTTATATCCCGCCCATCCCACGGGTGGCCTCGGTGCAGGTAACATCATTAGAATAAATACAATTTCAGTTTAAAACATTAAACATTAAAACATTCAGTGGGGATTGGATGAGGCACCAAATCTATTGCCATTCCCTCCTTCACATCTAAAATATTTGATATTTCTTAGGCAATAGGTGTTGTATTTAAGTCTGCTGATTGAGAAAGGTCTTAGTTTTGATCCACAAGCCATTTAATTTACAGTATCTAGCACTTACTTTATGTAGTGGAACTTCAAGGAATCCAGTCAAGAACAAGACACTTATGAATTGTAGTGATTTGCATGTTGATGGTGCTCTTCCATATATCTACTGTGCTAACCTACTATGTCTTAACCAGCTGAAGGTTAATTAACCCAAGATTCAGTTAAGAAAAAAAGTACAACTGAGGAGAGACATGAGAGAAGTTTATAAAATTATGCATGGGAGAGAGAACTTTTTCTCCTTCTCCCAAAATAACTAGAATTCAGCGGCAACCAATGAAGTTGATGGGCAATAGATTCAGGAGGGACAAAAGGATGTACCTCTTTACTCAGTGAATGATTAAAATGTGGGATCCACTGCCAAAGGATGTAGTGATTGCCACAAGCATAGATGGCTTTAAAAACTGATTATAGACAGATTAATGGAGGAAAGGTCTAACAGTGGCTACTAGCCATGGTGACTAAAGTGAACTTCCACATTCACAGGCAATAAACCTCTGAACAGTAGTGCCAGGAGGCAACATCAGGGGAAGGCCTGGGCTCTCTGCCCTGTTGTTGGCCCTCTAAAGTAAATGGTTGGCCAATGTGTGAGACAGGATGCTGGACTAGCTGGACCACTGTTCTGATCCAGCAAGGTTCTTGTTACAATACGCCCAGGATGTTAGTTGTCATATCTAAAAAGCAAAACTGAAAAAATTGCAAGTGGCAAATAGACGTAAATCTAAACAAATAATCAGAATAGTAAATAAATCCTAGAGATATATTGGTTTACGGTTGAACATTTATTATTAAACAGGTGGCAAGCCAAAATATATTCTGGAGATACTAGTAAACATATAACTATTTTACTGTCGTCAGCTAAAAACACTGTTGCATTGTTCTGGAAAAATACTGTAAGTCCAAATAGGCAGCATTGGCATTCTAAATTATGGAAACTGTATATTATGTCAAAAATTACTGATAGGGTAAATGATGCAAATTCTTATAAATCTTCCACAAATTTTGCTATAATTTGGTTGCCTATTCTAGAATATTTAGTTCACCATGATGTAATACCAGATGTAGTCAATGATTTGAATTTGTGGTAAGTCTTGTCTATATTTAAGCCTCTGTCATTATTTGTTAATGTTAAACTGTTGATACCATATATATCTTTATTTCTGTGTCACTAAGATTTTTTATATATTTTTTCTTAACTTACCTTTTGATCCTGTTGTTTATGCTGTTAATTGTTTTACATTGTCCATTTTGTATTTGTATTTTTTCATGTTGAAAAATTAATACATTAAAAAAAGAAAAAAAAGATATATATATTGGTTTATGGGCAACCTTAGAGGAAACCTTAAGGAAGCTGGTATCAACATTATATTAGCTCAATAAATATTTAAGCTGCTTTCTTCAAATCACTGATTCTGGAGGGAACTAATTAATTTTCTGATGGGCTTTTGTACAGTGAGAACTCTGGGAATTTGTGTCAGAAGATTATTGTGTAGGAAAAATGGCAAGTGTACTATAATTACTATTATCACTTTATACCAACCCCCCTTTATTTATTAGGAAGGAACGTTCTTTCACATTAAATGTACTTAGGGATGGAGCCTTCTCTTATTAAATAACACAGTTTGAAATTACAAAGCAACAAACACAGTTTTGGATCCCCCACACATTTTTGTCTGTATTAGGCCATCAGTGTAAAACAACTGGTGCCCTACTGAGTTTTCTCTTCTCCAAGTGCTTCTGTTACATTGTCTTGTTATAATATTTTTAGGACATCTATCACCACCGTGGCATTTAAGTAGAATTTTTTCACCTCCTACACTTCCTCTCATTAAGTATTTTACAGTCTTTTCCTGTCTCTCATTTGACCTCTGTCTTTCCAACCATACTTTCACATATTCTTTCATTCTTCTTAACAGTATCACAAAGGGGGGAAAAGGATTTTCGGGGCTTCTAATACAATATCCTCTGGTGCCTAAGGCTTCTTGGATGTTAGGTAGGAATCCAGACATTCTGGATGCTCATTTTTCTCTCAAGCTAAATTCCCAGTTCACTAGTTGGGGATTTGAGATTTCCCTAGAAAACTATTTTTCTTGCATTTTGGTGAAATAGGGCTATTTTTCATCTTCAGCACTGCACCTCACCTGCATTAAGGACTAAATGGATAAACTGCTGGATATACAGAAAGATTCTGGATATTAGTCTAAAACAAGTGAGTGAAAACTTCTCCTTGTTTTGTATGCTACTCCTACAAATAGCTCAGGACATTTATCATTCCTAACACATTGCAATGTGAGACTTGGTCCTTCAAGTATAAAGTTATCCCTGAAGGATCAGGCCTTGAAGTATCTCTCAGGTTATGGAAGTTATTATACATAATTTACCTCAGAAGGCAGAACAAGGTTTTTCATAAATCTGCATCCCAAATGTAAGCATGCTTACTCAGATATAAGTCCCCAGTTTGCATTAGGATTGTAGCCTATGAAACATACTTCATATTCCTGGAATTCTTCCTCCTCCACTTCATAGGACACTGTCTGGATTTTGATGTCATTCTCCATGAGCGATCGTCCTTGTATTTCCTGCCCATCAGAAGGTTCAATGGGGGGCTCTTTGTTTTCTGTGAAGGTTGTCTCACAACTCTCAACTTTGTTGTCCTTGACTTTGACACTGGTTTCATCTTTCACCAGGATAAAATTTGGACCATACAATGCTTCAACAGCCAACTGTAGAGAACTGGCATCCAGCAGCTGGTGAGTCCTTGCATTGCCAGAATTTTGGAAGATGTAAGAGTATAGTTTGCCTGGACAACGGTGGCCGGCATAGTCCTGGTGGCTGTGCTGGTGGAAAGTATAACTGCCGTGAAGGTGTCCATTGTTCTTGGCTAACAGGGGGTTCTGAAGCTCACTCAGACTTTCCATTCTACTGAAAACTCTATGCAAGATGCTCCCAAGATAGATGACTGTCAGAAGTCCTGAAGAACAGAAAAAGAAGAAAGAATATGTGAGTTCTGGAAGAACTCCAGGAACTGAATCTATATCATATGTGTTTCCCTCCTAAGGGGAAATTGGGGGTTGGATGCATGTTGTAGTGACACAACAAATAAAAAAACCAACACACAAAAATGGTAAGGTATACCATCCTGCCTAGGGTTGCCAATTCTGGATTGTGCAATTCCTGGAGATTTGGGGTGTGGAGCCTAGGGAGGACAGAGTTTGGGGAGGGGGGGGAGACCTCAGTGGGGTGCAATGCCATGGAGTTCACCTTCCAAAGTGGCCATTTTCTCCGGGGGAACTGATCTCTGTCGCCTGGAGATCAGTTGTAATCACAGGAGATCACCAGCTCACCACCTTGATGGATTTTGAAGAATGTCACTATGAAATACTACCAGTGAGTTTGTTAAATGGATTAATCTTGTATTTCGACGCTATTCACTTTGACAAAGTTGTACACAAAACAAGATGATATGCATGATCCATTGGTGTTGATGGCATCTGAATTGCATTCAGTAAACTTAATATTGGAAAAAGAAATTTCTAGTCTTTGGAGACTTTTGTGGCATAATATATCACGGTTGTTTGCTTCCTTTTCCACTTCCTTCCCATGATCTCTCTCCTTGGTTTGCACCACCTTGAGGTTGGCAACCCACAACCCTGCCTCTTGTGAGGGTCTGTAGCTGGAAATAAGACACTTGAGTGATTTTTATGACATGCTTAGTTAGAATGGCTTTGCATGTCCCAAAGAAGCATTAGGAATAGAAAAATTAGAAAGTTGTACTTTCTCTTATTCTACTTTTAAAAGTAATGCTTGAAAAGGAATTTTCACAGGGAAAATATACAAGCTGTTTATGCATTCAGAGCTTCTGCATTTCTACCATATAAATTCCTTTTCAAATATCACAACAGAAGTGCAGTAAGAGGGAGTGCAACTCACTTCTGTGTCAGTTCTCACACTTATTCAGAACATCAGAAGCCACACTGGAGTTTCAAAAAGCCTTAAGTGCTTTTTTACCAACTCCTTGCAAATATGTTATTTAGTGCTGTGAGAAAATCTTGTACACCAAGCATGAAATTACGGCAAGGAAAATGTAGATGCACTGTACTGTACTGAAACCTTTGTCAAAGTGCTAAAGATCTGAGCTGAATGTCATATGGTGCTTTGAGAACTCAGGAAAAAGGTTTTTTATGAAGATGATCACCTTCATTAGAAATGGAAACACAGCACATGTCAGTGTAGACATGCCTTGTTTTGATGGGAAGTAACAGCATTTGGCTGAACTACTGGGAATGAGAGCATGTACTTCCCCACCATAACCAAAATATGGTCTGAAAACTGCCTCTCTTTGAGTCTTCTTGTCAGCCTTATTGTGGCAGGTAGTGAGATCTGACTGTGAACATTATGATAAGATGAGAAGGTCAAAGCTATCATGTTGGCTAGAATGTGTTGTGCATTGCCCTTTCTCCTTGGCAGCCTGAGAAAGAGAGAACAGAATTTGATGTAAATGCTTAGCACATTCTTTATGCTGGGTCATAACTTCCTACAGAGAGTAACAGATGGCCCTGGCACAGATCTGAAGTTGGCATCCCCTCTCAAGAACCTTCCTGGCATCATAAACAAGCAGGGCACATACTGAATCACAGCCCTTTCATTTGTGAGTAGTTCCAGTAATATCATATATTCTGCATACTAAAGAAGAGCTAAGCAGTTCTTCAGTAGTTGGACTGCAACTTGCAAAGAAAAAGTGGGAATTATGGGAATGCATTAAAAAAACCAGAGAAACAGGCTGCCTGATACAGAAATATCATTTTCAGAGGCCTCATACATATGACATTGTATTTTTATTGCAGGTGTGCATTTCATTTTGAATCTCTGTCAATATTATAGGAAACCAGCAGCCCATATTGTTTGCTCCCACTCTAGACTACAACCTGGTTTCACCGATATCATCACATCACTGTCACATGACATTAAGGACATAACATAAGGACATTAAAAAACCCTGCTAGGTCTGACCAGTGGTCCAACTAGTCCAGTATCCTGTGCCAGCCAGTTGTCCTAGAGGGCTAGCAAACAGGCTTTGACATCGCCTCCTGTCACTGAAAGTTAGTGGCAAGTGGTATGAAGGAATCATGCCAGTTTTGAATAAATCAACATTTTCCTACAATATTCTTGAACATTGTAAATTGTGACCTCACAACCCATGTTATGATGGTTACCTTTACTACAGGGCTCTTTTTGTAGATAAAGCCAGCAGGAACTCATTAGCATAATAGGCCACACCCAACAGCAGAAACTCATTTGCATATTAGGCCACACCCATGACAGCACAGCTCATTGGCATATTAGGCCACACCCCCATGTTACCAGAAGTGTGCTCATCCAGCCACACCCACCTTTTGCTTCTTATTCTGTTTACCTTGTTTGTTGTCAAAACCCAGGGCTTTTTTCTAGCAGGAACTCCTTTGCATGTTAGGCCACACACCCCTAATGTAGCCAATTCTAATGAGTTTCTGCTGTTGGGTGTGGCCTATTATGCTAATGAGTTCCTGCTAGGCGTGGCCAACTTGGAAGCCAGCCGGAACTCCATTCCTGTGTGTTCCTGCCCAAAAATAGCCCTACCTTTACGTTACCCTGAACTGGATGGCCCAAGTTAACCTGGTGTCATCAGATCTCAGAAACTAAGCTGGGTCGGCCCTGGTTAGTTCTTGGATGAGAGACCACCAAGGTAGTCCAAGGTTGCTATGCAAATGAAGGCACTGGCAGATCACTTATGTTGGTCTCTTGCCTTGAAAGCCCACCAGGGTTTCCTTAAGTCAGCTGTGAATTGACAGCACTTCTGTTGTTGTTCAGTCGCACAGTCGAGTCCGACTCTTCGCGACCCCATGGACTAGATCCCGCCAGGCCCTCCTGTCTTCCGCTGTCCTCTGAAGTTTGCTCAGTTTCATGTTCGTTGCGTCGATGACACTGTCTAACCATCTCATCCTTTGCCGTCCCCGTCTTCTTTGACCTTCAATCTTTCCCAGCATCAGGGTCTTCTCCAGTGAGTGCTCCCTTCTCATTTGGTGGGAAATTTGCTATTGGCTTCAGCAGAAGCAAGACTGTACTGTACTACCCAGAGGCTGGACTAGGACTGAGGAGACCTGGGTTCAGGTCCTCGCCGACTGCATGATTTTAGTAATTTTCTCTCAGCCGAGCCTACCTCACAGGGCTGTTCTCAAGGTAAAGTGGAAGAGAGGGAAGCCATGCGTGTCTGTGTCTACACACACAGAGACACAATGATAAATGTGCAGGGACATCACACTGCAACACCATGGCATCAATTTTCAGAAGAAGGGGAAGACATATGAGTAACAAACTAATTTTATGCAAATGTAAAATCCATTTTGGTAAAACAATTGCTCAAATGTTAAGTGAAATTACTTATCTAGGCGATATGAATCCAATGAAGAATGGATTTGTGAGAAATGTCTCTTGTTCAAACAAATGTTATATTTCAGCAAAGTCCTCGAGAGCTGATCTTATGACAATCTTCTGCCAACGTTATCTTAAATTGAGATGAATGGGAAATGGCTGCGTGAACCCAGAGCCCGCCTGAAGGGCTGATAAAGAACAGCACGCCGTGGTATCAGAAGGGTTCTGCTGGGCACAGCATGTTTCAACATTCTCCCCGCTTTTATTGGAGAACTTTGCTAATGATTTTGAAGGAAGAATAAAGCACAAATTAATGAACATTATTCAGATGAAAGTGTATTACACTGGGTAGCACAGAAATTATCCCAATGGATGAAAAAAATTAAAACATTAGCAGATAATTTTGATTTAAAACAGGGGCAGCTAAAAATAAATTGGACCAAAGGCATTAACAGAGATTTCTGCACTGCAGTTTACACCGTGGTTGCCGTGCTGCCTCCATTTGTGATTGTTGCTGCCCCCCCCATGATCTGCTTGCCTCTGTGTTTTGCATGAGAGCAAATAAACAAATCTCTGACCACCACTGAATGAAAGGCAAGGAGCCAGCAGAGGACACAGAAGAATACCTGAATCAGTCATGCTAACTGAATTGAAAGGCATCCTAGGGATTAATCTGGAAAATCCCTACTTCAGCCAGAAATGGTGACGAAAGCTATTGTGATGCAGCAATTAGATGTCAGAGGGCCAGTATGTGTCCTCATGGCTACTAGATACGTTTCTATCAGACATGCTCTAGATGTTCCATGCCAGAACTTTATTCTCAGGCACAATTTGTATCAAAACCATAATGCATGGGTAGGAGATATTTAAGCCTTCCAAGTGGGACCTGTAGGTCTCCTGGAATTACAACTCATCTGCAGGAAACAGAGATCTGTCCCACTGGAAAAAAATGGCTGCTTTGGAGAGTGGACTCTATGGCCCCTCCTCTCCCTAAGTGCTACCCCCCCTCAGTCTCCGCCCCAAAATCTCCAGGAATTTCCCAACCTGGAGCTGGCAACTCTACCTCCACTTCATGCATCTTTTACTCATGCAGAAATGGCCCCTGGGAGCTGCTATTTGCCCCACTGAAGGCTATGGGTATACTGATGGGCTTAGGGTTCCCAGGTCTCCTCGCCATCACTGTGGGGGGATTTGGGGGGCATTCTGAGGAGGGGTGGAGCCTCATCCAGAAGTGACATCATCATATCAGCAACATTGCACACAACTCTCTGGTTTTTGGACAAAACTCTATGGGTCTTTTGCCTTCAGAACCATATAGTTTGCCCAAAAACCAGAGTGTTGCCGCACAACATCCCCGGCGCGATCACATCACCCAATGATGTCATAGTGTCAGGGACATCGCACGACAATGTCCCTGTTTTGGGGGTGGGGTTTCCTCCACCAGCCAGCTGGCCAGTGGTGGATCAAAGCCCCCCAAAGCAGGGGAACCCCTGGTGGGACCTGAACCCTAGATGGGTGACATGCAAGTTCTCACTATTTCTT